GATTATTAATGATGAGTATTGATTGGTAGTATTGGTTATGGTTCATTGTCCGGAGAGTATATTGTTGAAGAGGATAGCTATTAGAAGGATTATGGATGCGGTTGCTTGCGTGAGGAAATACTTGATGGCAGCTTCTGTGGAACGAGGGTTTATTTTTTTGGTTAGAACTGGAATAAAAGCTAGCATGTTTATTTCTAGGCCTACTCAGGTAAAAAATCAGTGCGAGCTTAGCGCTGTGATGAGTGTGCCTGCAAAGATGGTAGAGTAGATGACGGGTTGGGCCAGGGGATTAATTAGTACGGGAAGGGTATAACCAACATTTTCGGGGTATGGGCCCGATAGCTTATTTAGCTGACCTTACTTTAGGATGGGGTGTGATAGGTGGCACGGAGAATTTTGGATTCTCAGGGATGGGTTCGATTCTCATAGTCCTAGAAATAAGGGGGTTTAAGCTCCTATTATTTACTCTATCAAAGTAACTCTTTTATCAGACATATTTCTTAGGTTTGAGGGGGAATGCTGGAGATTGTAATGGGTATGGAGACATATCATATAAGTAATGCTAGGGTGAGTGGTAGGAAGTTTTTTCATAGGAGGTGTATGAGTTGGTCGTAGCGGAATCGGGGGTATGCTGTTCGAATTCATAAGAACAGGGAGGTTAGAAGTAGGGTCTTGGTGACAAAATATGTTGTGTAGAGTTCAGGGGAGAGTGCGTCATATGTTGTTCCTAGGAAGATTGTAGTGGTGAGGGTGTTTATTATAATAATGTTTGTGTATTCGGCTATGAAGAATAGGGCGAAGGGGCCTGCGGCGTATTCGATGTTGAAGCCTGAGACTAGTTCGGACTCCCCTTCGGCAAGGTCGAAGGGGGTTCGGTTGGTCTCTGCTAGTGTGGAGATAAATCATATTATGGCCAAGGGTCATGATGGCAGGAGTAATCAGAGGTGTTCTTGTGTTGTGATAAGGGTGGAGAGGTTAAAGGAGCCACTTATTAGTAATGTTGATAGTAGAATGATGGCTAGGGTGACTTCATATGAGATTGTTTGGGCTACTGCTCGCAGTGCGCCGATCAGGGCGTAGTTTGAGTTTGATGCTCACCCTGATCAGAGGATTGAGTAAACGGCTAGGCTAGAGGTGGCTAGAATAAATAGGAGGCCTAGGTTGAGGTTGACCAGGGGGTTGGGTATGGGGAGGGGGGTTCATAGTAGAAGAGCGATGGTGAGAGCTAAGGTCGGGGCGGTGATGTAGAGGGTGATGGTAGATGTGGCGGGTTTTAGGGGCTCTTTGGTGAAGAGTTTTATGGCGTCAGCGAAGGGTTGTAGTAGCCCGTAGGGGCCTACAACGTTGGGGCCTTTGCGTAGTTGTATATAGCCTAGAATTTTTCGTTCGGTAAGCATTAGGAATGCCATTGCGATTAGAATGGGTACAATGAGGAGTAGGAGGTTGGCCATGGGTATGTTGTTAAGAAGAGGAATTGAACCTCTGACTGTAAAGTTTTAAGTTTTATGCGATTACCGGGCTCTGCCATCTTAACAAACCCTGTTCTTGGGTGGGTGTGGGTATAATACTAAGTTGAGATGATATCATTTACGGGGGAAGGCGCTTTGTGAAGTAGGCCTTATTTCTCTTGTCCTTTCGTACAGGGAGGAATTTGAAGTAGATAGAAACCGACCTGGATTACTCCGGTCTGAACTCAGATCACGTAGGACTTTAATCGTTGAACAAACGAACCTTTAATAGCGGCTGCACCATTGGGATGTCCTGATCCAACATCGAGGTCGTAAACCCTATTGTTGATATGGACTCTAGAATAGGATTGCGCTGTTATCCCTAGGGTAACTTGTTCCGTTGGTCAAGTTATTGGATCAATTGAGTATAGTAGTTCGCTTTGACTGGTGAAGTCTTAGCATGTACTGCTCGGAGGTTGGGTTCTGCTCCGAGGTCGCCCCAACCGAAATTTTTAATGCAGGTTTGGTAGTTTAGGACCTGTGGGTTTGTTAGGTACTGTTTGCATTAATAAATTAAAGCTCCATAGGGTCTTCTCGTCTTGCTGTGTTATGCCCGCCTCTTCACGGGCAGGTCAATTTCACTGGTTAAAAGTAAGAGACAGCTGAACCCTCGTGGAGCCATTCATACAGGTCCCTATTTAAGGAACAAGTGATTATGCTACCTTTGCACGGTTAGGGTACCGCGGCCGTTAAACATGTGTCACTGGGCAGGCGGTGCCTCTAATACTGGTGATGCTAGAGGTGATGTTTTTGGTAAACAGGCGGGGTAAGATTTGCCGAGTTCCTTTTACTTTTTTTAACCTTTCCTTATGAGCATGCCTGTGTTGGGTTGACAGTGAGGGTAATAATGACTTGTTGGTTGATTGTAGATATTGGGCTGTTAATTGTCAGTTCAGTGTTTTAATCTGACGCAGGCTTATGCGGAGGAGAATGTTTTCATGTTACTTATACTAACATTAGTTCTTCTATAGGGTGATAGATTGGTCCAATTGGGTGTGAGGAGTTCAGTTATATGTTTGGGATTTTTTAGGTAGTGGGTGTTGAGCTTGAACGCTTTCTTAATTGGTGGCTGCTTTTAGGCCTACTATGGGTGTTAAATTTTTTACTCTCTCTACAAGGTTTTTTCCTAGTGTCCAAAGAGCTGTTCCTCTTTGGACTAACAGTTAAATTTACAAGGGGATTTAGAGGGTTCTGTGGGCAAATTTAAAGTTGAACTAAGATTCTATCTTGGACAACCAGCTATCACCAGGCTCGGTAGGTTTGTCGCCTCTACCTATAAATCTTCCCACTATTTTGCTACATAGACGGGTGTGCTCTTTTAGCTGTTCTTAGGTAGCTCGTCTGGTTTCGGGGGTCTTAGCTTTGGCTCTCCTTGCAAAGTTATTTCTAGTTAATTCATTATGCAGAAGGTATAGGGGTTAGTCCTTGCTATATTATGCTTGGTTATAATTTTTCATCTTTCCCTTGCGGTACTATATCTATTGCGCCAGGTTTCAATTTCTATCGCCTATACTTTATTTGGGTAAATGGTTTGGCTAAGGTTGTCTGGTAGTAAGGTGGAGTGGGTTTGGGGCTAGGTTTAGCTCAGAGCGGTCAAGTTAAGTTGAAATCTCCTAAGTGTAAGTTGGGTGCTTTGTGTTAAGCTACACTCTGGTTCGTCCAAGTGCACTTTCCAGTACACTTACCATGTTACGACTTGTCTCCTCTATATAAATGCGTAGGGGTTTTAGTTAAATGTCCTTTGAAGTATACTTGAGGAGGGTGACGGGCGGTGTGTACGCGCTTCAGGGCCCTGTTCAACTAAGCACTCTACTCTCAGTTTACTGCTAAATCCACCTTCGACCCTTAAGTTTCATAAGGGCTATCGTAGTTTTCTGGGGTAGAAAATGTAGCCCATTTCTTGCCACCTCATGGGCTACACCTTGACCTAACGTCTTTACGTGGGTACTTGCGCTTACTTTGTAGCCTTCATCAGGGTTTGCTGAAGATGGCGGTATATAGGCTGAGCAAGAGGTGGTGAGGTTGATCGGGGTTTATCGATTACAGAACAGGCTCCTCTAGAGGGATATGAAGCACCGCCAGGTCCTTTGAGTTTTAAGCTGTGGCTCGTAGTGTTCTGGCGAGCAGTTTTGTTGATTTAACTGTTGAGGTTTAGGGCTAAGCATAGTGGGGTATCTAATCCCAGTTTGGGTCTTAGCTATTGTGTGTTCAGATATGTTAAAGCCACTTTCGTAGTCTATTTTGTGTCAACTGGAGTTTTTTACAACTCAGGTGAGTTTTAGCTTTATTGGGGAGGGGGTGATCTAAAACACTCTTTACGCCGGCTTCTATTGACTTGGGTTAATCGTGTGACCGCGGTGGCTGGCACGAAATTGACCAACCCTGGGGTTAGTATAGCTTAGTTAAACTTTCGTTTATTGCTAAAGGTTAATCACTGCTGTTTCCCGTGGGGGTGTGGCTAGGCTAAGCGTTTTGAGCTGCATTGCTGCGTGCTTGATGCTTGTCCCTTTTGATCGTGGTGATTTAGAGGGTGAACTCACTGGAACGGGGATGCTTGCATGTGTAATCTTACTAAGAGCTAATAGAAAGGCTAGGACCAAACCTATTTGTTTATGGGGTGATGTGAGCCCGTCTAAACATTTTCAGTGTATTGCTTTGAGGAGGTAAGCTACATAAACTGTGGGGGGTGTCTTTGGGGTTTGGTTGGTTCGGGGTATGGGGTTAGCAGCGGTGTGTGTGTGCTGGGTAGGATGGGCGGGGGTTGTATTGATGAGATTAGTAGTATGGGAGTGGGAGGGGAAAATAATGTGTTAGTTGGGGGGTGACTGTTAAAAGTGCATACCGCCAAAAGATAAAATTTGAAATCTGGTTAGGCTGGTGTTAGGGTTCTTTGTTTTTGGGGTTTGGCAGAGATGTGTTTAAGTGCTGTGGCCAGAAGCGGGGGGAGGGGGGGTTTGGTGGAAATTTTTTGTTATGATGTCTGTGTGGAAAGCGGCTGTGCAGACATTCAATTGTTATTATTATGTCCTACAAGCATTAATTAATTAACACACTTTAGTAAGTATGTTCGTCTGTAATATTGAACGTAGGTGCGATAAATAATAGGATGAGGCAGGAATCAAAGACAGATACTGCGACATAGGGTGCTCCGGCTCCAGCGTCTCGCAATGCTATCGCGTGCATACCCCCCAGACGAAAATACCAAATGCATGGAGAGCTCCCGTGAGTGGTTAATAGGGTGATAGACCTGTGATCCATCGTGATGTCTTATTTAAGGGGAACGTGTGGGCTATTTAGGCTTTATGGCCCTGAAGTAGGAACCAGATGTCGGATACAGTTCACTTTAGCTACCCCCAAGTGTTATGGGCCCGGAGCGAGGAGAGTAGCACTCTTGTGCGGGATATTGATTTCACGGAGGATGGTGGTCAAGGGACCCCTATCTGAGGGGGGTCATCCATGGGGACGAGAAGGGATTTGACTGTAATGTGCTATGTACGGTAAATGGCTTTATGTACTATGTACTGTTAAGGGTGGGTAGGTTTGTTGGTATCCTAGTGGGTGAGGGGTGGCTTTGGAGTTGCAGTTGATGTGTGATAGTTGAGGGTTGATTGCTGTACTTGCTTGTAAGCATGGGGAGGGGGTTTTGATGTGGATTGGGTTTTTATGTACTACAGGTGGTCAAGTATTTATGGTACCGTACAATATTCATGGTGGCTGGCAGTAATGTACGAAATACATAGCGGTTGTTGATGGGTGAGTCAATACTTGGGTGGTACCCAAATCTGCTTCCCCATGAAAGAACAGAGAATAGTTTAAATTAGAATCTTAGCTTTGGGTGCTAATGGTGGAGTTAAAGACTTTTTCTCTGATTTGTCCTTGGAAAAAGGTTTTCATCTCCGGTTTACAAGACTGGTGTATTAGTTTATACTACAAGGACAGGCCCATTTGAGTATTTTGTTTTCAATTAGGGAGATAGTTGGTATTAGGATTAGGATTGTTGTGAAGTATAGTACGGATGCTACTTGTCCAATGATGGTAAAAGGGTAGCTTACTGGTTGTCCTCCGATTCAGGTTAGAATGAGGAGGTCTGCGGCTAGGAGTCAATAAAGTGATTGGCTTAGTGGGCGAAATATTATGCTTTGTTGTTTGGATATATGGAGGATGGGGATTATTGCTAGGATGAGGATGGATAGTAATAGGGCAAGGACGCCTCCTAGTTTGTTAGGGACGGATCGGAGAATTGTGTAGGCGAATAGGAAATATCATTCGGGCTTGATGTGGGGAGGGGTGTTTAAGGGGTTGGCTAGGGTATAATTGTCTGGGTCGCCTAGGAGGTCTGGTGAGAATAGTGTTAATGTCATTAAGGAGAGAAGGAAGAGAAGTAAGCCGAGGGCGTCTTTGATTGTGTAGTAAGGGTGGAAGGTGATTTTATCGGAATGGGAGGTGATTCCTAGGGGGTTGTTTGATCCCGTTTCGTGCAAGAATAGGAGGTGGAGTGCTGCTAGGGCTGCAATAATGAAGGGCAAGATGAAGTGAAAGGTAAAGAATCGTGTGAGGGTGGGACTGTCTACTGAGTAGCCTCCTCAGATTCATTGAACTAGGTCTGTCCCAATGTATGGGATGGCGGATAGTAAGTTTGTAATTACTGTGGCCCCTCAGAATGATATTTGGCCTCACGGGAGGACATAGCCTATGAAGGCTGTTGCTATAGTTGCAAGCAGGAGGATAATGCCGATGTTTCAGGTTTCTGAGTAGAGAAATGATCCGTAATATAGGCCTCGCCCGATGTGTAGGAAGAGGCAGATAAAGAATATTGAGGCGCCATTGGCGTGAAGGTAGCGGATGATTCAGCCATAATTTACGTCTCGAGTGATGTGGGCGATTGATGAAAAGGCGGTTGAGGCGTCTGGTGAGTAGTGCATGGCTAGGAATAGTCCTGTGGTGATTTGGAGGATCAGGCAGGCGCCAAGGAGTGAGCCGAAGTTTCATCATGCGGAGATGTTGGATGGGGTGGGGAGGTCGATGAATGAGTGGTTAATTAATTTTATTAGGGGGTTAGTTTTGCGTATTGGGGTCATTGGTGTTCTTGTAGTTGAAATACAACGATGGTTTTTCATATCATTGGTCGTGGTTGTAGTCCGTGCGAGAATAATGATGTATGCTTTGTTTCTGTTGAGTGTGGGTTTAGTAATGGGGTTTGTGGGGTTTTCTTCTAAGCCTTCTCCTATTTATGGGGGTTTAGTATTGATTGTTAGCGGTGTGGTCGGGTGTGTTATTATTCTGAATTTTGGGGGAGGTTATATGGGTTTAATAGTTTTTTTAATTTATTTAGGGGGAATGATGGTTGTCTTTGGATATACTACAGCGATGGCTATTGAGGAGTATCCTGAGGCATGGGGGTCAGGGGTTGAGGTCTTGGTGAGTGTTTTAGTGGGGTTAGCGATGGAGGTAGGATTGGTGCTGTGGGTGAAAGAGTATGATGGGGTGGTGGTTGTGGTAAACTTTAATAGTGTAGGAAGCTGAATAATTTATGAAGGAGAGGGGTCAGGGTTGATTCGGGAGGATCCTATTGGTGCGGGGGCTTTGTATGATTATGGGCGTTGATTAGTAGTAGTTACTGGTTGAACATTGTTTGTTGGTGTATATATTGTAATTGAGATTGCTCGGGGGAATAGGTTATGTGATTAGGAGTAGGGTTAGGATGAGTGGGAAGAAGAAAGAGAGGAAGTAAAGTTTAATTATGCCTTTTTGGGTTGAGGTGATGATGGAGGTGGAGATTTGGTGCTGTGAAATTGTTTTAGGTAATAGCTTTTCTAGTCAGGTTAGGTCTAGGAGGAGTAGGGGCAGGTTTTGGCTCGTAAGAAGGCCTAGATAGGGGATTGTGCGGTGTGTGATGCTAGGGTAGAATCCGAGTATGTTGGAGAAATAAAATGTGCATAGTGGGGATTTTATTTTAAGTTTGTTGGTTAGGTAGTTGAGGTCTAGGGCTGTTAGAAGTCCTAGGAAAGTGACAGCGAGGGCTGTGAGTTTTAGGTAGAGGGGGATTGTTGTTTGGAAGGGGGATGCGGGGGAAATGTTGTTAGTAATGAGAAATCCTGCGAATAGGCTTCCGGCTGCCAGGCGTTTAATGGGGTTTAGTAGGGTGGGGTTATTTTCGTTAATGTTAGTAAGGGTGGGGAAGCGAGGTTGACCTGTTAGGGTGAGAAGAATTATTCGAGTGCTATAGGCGCTTGTCAGGGAGGTAGCGATGAGAGTAATAGATAGGGCTCAGGCGTTTGTGTATGATATGTTTGCGGTTTCGATGATGTGGTCTTTGGAGTAGAAACCTGTGAGGAAAGGTATTCCTGCTAATGCTAGGCTGCCAATGGTGAGGGAGGTTGAAGTGAGAGGTATGGTTTTGAGTAGTCCTCCTATTTTTCGAATATCTTGTTCATTGTTAAGGTTGTGGATGATGGACCCGGAGCACATAAATAGTATGGCTTTGAAGAAGGCGTGGGTACAGATGTGCAGGAATGCTAGGTGTGGTTGGTTGATGCCGATTGTAACTATTATGAGTCCTAGTTGACTTGAAGTGGAGAAGGCTACGATTTTTTTGATGTCATTTTGTGTAAGGGCGCAGACTGCTGCGAACAGAGTGGTGATAGCGCCTAAGCATAGTGTTAGAGTTTGGATTAGTGGGCTATTTTCTGCTAGGGGGTGGAAGCGGATGAGTAAGAAGATTCCTGCTACAACTATAGTGCTTGAGTGGAGTAGGGCTGAGACTGGGGTGGGGCCTTCTATGGCTGAGGGGAGTCAGGGGTGGAGACCTAATTGGGCTGATTTGCCTGCTGCTGCTAGGAGGAGGCCTAGTAGTGGGGTGAGGCTTGGATTAGCGTTTAGAAGGGCTATTTGTTGTGGGTCTCATGAGTTGGAGTGTAGGATAAATCATGCTAAGGCGAGGATGAAACCGATATCGCCGATACGGTTGTATAGGATTGCTTGAATGGCTGCTGTGTTGGCATCTGCTCGGGCGTATCATCAACTGATGAGCAAGAAGGATATAATTCCTACGCCCTCTCAGCCGATGAACAGTTGGAATAGGTTGTTAGCGGTAACTAAGATTAGTATGGTAATTAGGAAGATGAGTAGATATTTGAAGAACTGATTAATGTTTGGGTCTGAGTTTATATATCACAGTGAGAATTCTATGATGGACCATGTAACGAACAATGCTACAGGGATGAATATTATGGAGAAGTAGTCTAGTTTGAAGCTTAGGGAGAGCTGGGTTGTTTGGGTTGTGGCTCAGTGTCAGTTCGAGATAATAACTTCTTGGTCTAGGCACATGAATATTGTTGTGGGGAAGAGACTGATAATAAAGGTGGATGCGACAATGGATTTTACATAATGGGGGTATGAGTTTTTTTTGTTAGGGTTAACGAGGGTGGTAAGGATGGGGGGAATTAGGGAAGTCAGGGTTAGGGTGGTTATAGTAGTGTGCATGGTTATTACTTTTATTTGGAGTTGCACCAAAATTTTTGGGGCCTAAGACCAATGGATAGCTGTTATCCTTTAAAAGTTGAGAAAGCCATGTTGTTAGACATGGGGGCATGAGTTAGCAGTTCTTGTGAGCTTTCTCGGTAAATAAGGGGTCGTAAGCCTCTGTTGTCAGATTCACAATCTGATGTTTTGGTTAAACTATATTTACAAGAGGAAAACCCGGTAATGATGTCGGGGTTGAGGGATAGGAGGAGAATGGGGGATAGGTGTATGAACATGAGGGTGTTTTCTCGTGTGAATGAGGGTTTTATGTTGTTAATGTGGTGGGTGAGTGAGCCCCATTGTGTTGTGGTAAATATGTAGAGGGAGTATAGGGCTGTGACTAGTATGTTGAGTCCTGTAAGTAGGAGAGTGATATTTGATCAGGAGAACGTGGTTACTAGCACAGAGAGTTCTCCCAGTAGGTTAATAGTGGGGGGTAAGGCGAGGTTAGCGAGGCTTGCTAGAAGTCATCAAAAAGCTATTAGTGGGAGTAGAGTTTGAAGTCCTTGAGAGAGGATTATGATGCGACTGTGAGTGCGTTCGTAGTTTGAGTTTGCTAGGCAGAATAGTAATGAGGATGTAAGCCCGTGGGCGATTATGAGAATGACTGCGCCGGTGAAGCTTCAGGGGGTTTGGATGAGAATGGCTGTTACTACGAGGGCTATGTGGCTGATTGAAGAGTATGCAATGAGCGATTTTAGGTCTGTTTGTCGTAGGCAGATGGAGCTTGTTATAATTATGCCTCATAGGGATAGTACAAGGAAGGGGTAGGCTATGTGTTTTGTCAGGGGGTTGAGAATGAGTGTGAGGCGTATTATACCATAGCCGCCTAGTTTTAAGAGTACTGCGGCAAGTACTATTGACCCAGCGATGGGGGCTTCGACATGGGCTTTAGGGAGTCATAAGTGGAGTCCGTAAAGAGGTATCTTTACTATAAAAGCTATTGTGTAAGCTAGTCATATTAAGTTGTTGGCTCAGGAGTTTGATAGTTCTTGGGCAGTGAGAGTGAGTAGTAGAATGTTTAGTGAGCCTAGGGTGTTGTGAGTGTAAATTAGTGCGATGAGTAGGGGAAGGGAGCCTACTAGGGTGTAGAATAGGAAGTATGTGCCTGCGTTCAGGCGTTCTGGCTGGTTGCCTCATCGGGTGATGATAGCCAAGGTGGGGATAAGTGTGGTTTCGAAGAAGATATAAAATATGATTAGTTCTGTGGCTGTGAATGTTATAATTAAGGAGATTTGTAGGGAGATTAGTATAGAGAGGTAGAGTTTTTTTCGTGATAGTGGTTCACTGGATAAGTGGCGTTGGCTTGCCATGATTGTGAGGGGTAGGAGTCAGGTAGTTAGTATTAGGAGGGGGGTTGTTAGGGGGTCGGAGGAAAAGGTTGGGGAACAGCTAAATAGGTTGTTGTTGATTTGGTTAAAAAATAGTAGAGGGATGATGCTAATAATTAGGCTGTGGGTGGTTGTGTTGATTCAAATTATGTGTTTTTTGGAAAGTCATGTCAGTGGTAGTAATATAATTGTTGGGACGATTAGTTTTAGCATTGGAGTAGGTTTAGGTTATGTACGTAGTCTAGGCCATATGTGTTGGAGATTGAGACTAGTAGGGCTAGGCCCACCGCTGCTTCGCAGGCGGCAAAGACTAGTATGGCAATAGGCACAATATTGGCTAAGAGGGAGTGGGTGTTGAGGGTTATGAGAGTAGCTATAATGAACAGCGATAGTATTATTCCTTCTAGGCATAGTAGGGAGGATATGAGGTGTGAGCGATATACTAGTATTCCTAGAAGTGAGATGGTAAATGCTAGTATAATATTTATGTAAATGAGGGGCATTTGGTAAATATGATTATCATAATTTAATGAGTCGAAATCATTCGTTTTGTTTAAACTATATACCAATTCGGTTCAGTCTAATCCTTTTTGTAGTCACTCATAGGCCAGACTTAGGGCTAGGATGATGATTAATAAGAGGGATGACATAACTATTAGTGGCAGGTTAGTTGTTTGTAGGGCTCATGGTAGGGGTAAAAGGAGGGCAATTTCTAGATCAAATAATAAGAAGGTAATAGCTACTAAGAAGAATTTTATGGAGAAAGGGACGCGGGCGGGGGATATAGGGTCGAAGCCGCACTCGTAAGGGGTGGATTTTTCTATGTAGCCGTTGAGTTGTGGTAGTCAAAATGTAATAATTATTAGTAGTAAGGCTAGGAGGGTGTTGATTATTAAAATTAAGGCGAAGTTTATTACTCTTTTTTGAATGTTGTCAAAACTAGTTAATTGGAAGTTAACGGTACTATTTATACTAAAAGAGTAAGACCCTCATCAATAGATGGAGACATACAGAAATAGTCAAACCACATCTACAAAATGCCAGTATCAGGCGGCGGCTTCGAAGCCAAAGTGATGTTTGGATGTAAAGTGAAATATTAGTTGGCGGATGAAGCAGATAGTGAGGAAAGTTGAGCCAATAATGACGTGAAGTCCGTGGAAGCCTGTGGCTACAAAAAATGTTGAGCCGTAGATGCCGTCGGAAATGGTGAAGGGAGACTCGAAGTACTCTGAGGCTTGTAGGAGGGTAAAATAGAGACCCAGTAAAATTGTAATAAGCAGTGCTTGAATTATTTGGTTTCGGTTGTTTTCTATTAGACTATGGTGAGCTCAGGTGATTGATACTCCTGATGCGAGTAATACGGATGTGTTTAGGAGTGGGACTTCTAGGGGATTTAGCGGGGTGATGCCTGTTGGGGGCCAGTGCCCTCCTAATTGGGGGGTAGGGGCTAGGCTGGAGTGGTAAAAGGCTCAGAAAAATCCTGCGAAGAAAAAAACTTCTGAGGTAATAAATAGGATTATCCCGTATCGAAGGCCTTTTTGGACAGGTGGTGTGTGGTGGCCTTGGTATGTGCTTTCTCGTGTTACATCGCGCCATCATTGGTATATGGTTAGTGTGTTGGTTAGTAGGCCTAGTATGAGGAGCGTTATGGAGTGGAAGTGAAATCACATGGCTAGGCCGGAGGTCATTAGGAGGGCTGAGAGGGCCCCTGTTAGGGGTCATGGGCTGGGTTTTACTATATGATAGGCATGTGATTGGTGGGTCATTATGTGTTGTCGTGCAGGTAGAGGCTTACTAGAAGTGTGAAAACGTAGGCTTGGATTAAGGCGACAGCGATTTCTAGGATAGTCAGTAGAATTAGAATTGTGAAGATGATAAGTGTAGAGGGAAGGTTAATGGTTGATATTGCTAGGGTGGCGCTTCCAATTAGGTGCATGAGTAGGTGGCCTGCAGTAATGTTAGCGGTTAGGCGTACGGCCAGGGCTATTGGTTGAATGAGTAGGCTGATGGTTTCGATAATAACTAGTATGGGGATAAGGGGTGTAGGTGTGCCTTGTGGTAAGAAGTGGGCTAGGGCATTTTTAATCTTAGAGCGAAAGCCTATAATCACTGCGCCCGCTCATAAGGGGATGGCCATGGCTAGGTTTATAGATAGTTGGGTGGTTGGTGTAAATGAGTGAGGCAGGAGTCCGAGGAGGTTAGTTGTGGCAATAAAAATGATTAAGGATACTAGTATAAGAGATCAGGTTCGTCCTTTAGTGTTGTGTATGGTTATCATTTGTTTTGAGGTTAGTTTGATTAGTCATTGTTGGGTGGTGATTAGTCGGTTGTTGATGAGATATTTGGAGGTGGGGATCAATAGAGGGGGAAATAGAATGATCAGTACTGCGGCGGGTAGGCCTAGGATTGTGGGGGCAATGAATGAAGCGAACAGATTTTCGTTCATTTTGGTTCTCAGGGTTTGTTATAATTTTTTATTTTTATGGGCTTTGGTGAGGGAGGTAGGTGGTAGTTTGTGTTTAATATTTTTAGTTGGGTGATGAGGAATAGTGTAAGGAGTATGGGGGTAATTATGGTGGGCCATACGGTAGTATTTAGTTGGGGCATTTCACTGTAAAGAGGTGTTGGTTCTCTTAATCTTTAACTTAAAAGGTTAATGCTAAGTTAGCTTTACAGTGGGCTCTAGAGGGGGTAGAGGGGGTGCTATAGGGTAAATACGGGCCCTATTTCAAAGATTTTTAGGGGAATTAATTCTAGGACGATGGGCATGAAACTGTGGTTTGCTCCACAGATTTCAGAGCATTGACCGTAGTATACCCCCGGTCGTGTAGCGGTGAAAGTGGTTTGGTTTAGACGTCCGGGAATTGCATCTGTTTTTAAGCCTAATGTGGGGACAGCTCATGAGTGCAAGACGTCTTGTGATGTAATTATTATACGAATGGGGGCTTCAATCGGGAGTACTACTCGATTGTCAACGTCAAGGAGTCGCAGGTCGCCTGGTTCTAGGAATAATGGGGGAAGTATGTAGGAGTTGAAGATTAGTCCGCCGTAGTCGGTGTACTCGTAGGTTCAGTACCATTGGTGGCCAATTGATTTGATGGTAAGGGAGGGATCGTTGACCTCGTCTGTTATGTAAAGGATGCGTAGGGATGGGAGGGCGATGAGGACTAGGATGATGGCGGGCAGGATAGTTCAGACGGTTTCTATTTCCTGAGCGTCTGAGATGTTAGTATTAGTTAGTTTTGTTGTGAGTGTTAGGAAAAGGGCATACAGGACTAGGAAGCAGATAAGGAAAATGATTATGAGGGCGTGATCATGAAAGGTGATAAGCTCTTCTATGATAGGGGAAGTAGCGTCTTGTAGACCTACTTGCGCTGCATGTGCCATTAAGATATATAGGATTTAGCCTATAATTTAACTTTGACAAAGTTATGAAATGGTTTTTCTAATACCTTTTTGAAAAAGTCATGGAGGCCATGGGGTTGGCTTGAAACCAGCTTTGGGGGGTTCGATTCCTTCCTTTTTTGTCTAGATTTTATGTATACGGGTTCTTCGAATGTGTGGTAGGGTGGGGGGCATCCATATAGTCACTCCAGGTTTATGGAGGGTTCTTCTACTATTAGGACTTTTCGCTTCGAAGCGAAGGCTTCTCAAATCATGAAAATTATTAATATTACTGCTGTTAGAGAAATGAATGAGCCTACAGATGATAGGATGTTTCATGTGGTGTATGCATCGGGGTAGTCCGAGTAACGTCGGGGCATTCCGGATAGGCCGAGAAAGTGTTGTGGGAAGAAAGTTAGATTTACGCCGATGAATATGATAGTGAAATGGATTTTGGCGTAGGTTTGGTCTAGGGTGTAGCCTGAGAATAGGGGAAATCAGTGAATGAAGCCTCCTATGATGGCAAATACAGCTCCTATTGATAGGACATAGTGGAAGTGGGCTACAACGTAGTACGTGTCGTGTAGTACGATGTCTAGTGATGAGTTTGCTAATACAATGCCAGTCAGGCCACCTACGGTGAAAAGAAAGATGAATCCTAGGGCTCAGAGCACTGCAGCAGATCATTTCATATTGCTTCCGTGGAGTGTGGCGAGTCAGCTAAATACTTTGACGCCGGTGGGGATAGCGATGATTATGGTAGCGGAGGTGAAATATGCTCGTGTGTCTACGTCTATTCCTACTGTAAATATATGGTGTGCTCACACGATAAACCCTAGGAAGCCAATTGATATCATAGCTCAGACCATACCTATGTATCCAAATGGTTCTTTTTTTCCGGAGTAGTAAGTTACAATATGGGAGATTATTCCGAAGCCTGGTAGGATAAGAATATAAACTTCAGGGTGACCGAAAAATCAGAATAGGTGTTGGTATAGAATGGGGTCTCCTCCTCCGGCGGGGTCGAAGAAGGTGGTGTTGAGGTTGCGGTCTGTTAGTAGTATAGTGATGCCAGCAGCTAGGACTGGGAGAGATAGGAGAAGTAGGACTGCTGTGATTAGGACGGATCAGACGAAGAGGGGCGTTTGGTATTGGGTTATGGCAGGGGGTTTTATATTGATAATTGTTGTGATGAAATTGATGGCCCCTAAGATAGAGGAGACACCTGCTAGGTGTAAGGAGAAGATGGTTAGGTCTACGGAGGCTCCAGGGTGGGAGTAGTTCCCTGCTAAGGGAGGGTAGACTGTTCAACCTGTTCCTGCTCCGGCCTCCACTATAGCAGATGCGAGCAGGAGTAGGAGAGAGGGAGGTAAGAGTCAGAAGCTTATGTTGTTTATGCGGGGAAACGCCATATCGGGGGCACCGATTATTAGGGGAACTAGTCAGTTGCCAAAGCCTCCGATTATGATGGGTATTACTATGAAGAAGATTATTACAAATGCATGGGCTGTGACGATAACGTTGTAGATGTGGTCGTTACCTAGAAGGTTGCCTGGCTGGCCCAGCTCGGCTCGAATAAGGAGGCTTAGAGCTGTGCCTAGGACTCCAGCTCATGCGCCGAATAATAGGTATAGTGTTCCAATGTCTTTGTGGTTTGTAGAGAATAGTCAACGGTCGGCGAACATCAGTGGGGGTGAGGTAAAATGGCTGAGTGAAGCATTGGACTGTAAATCTAAAGACAGGGGTTAGGCCTCTTTTTACCAGCTCCGAGGTGATTTTCATATTGAATTGCAAATTCGAAGAAGCAGCTTCAAACCTGCCGGGGCTTCTCCCGCCTTTTTTCCCGGCGGCGGGAGAAGTAGATTGAAGCCAGTTGATTAGGGTGCTTAGCTGTTAACTAAGTGTTTGTGGGTTTAAGTCCCATTGGTCTAGTAAGGGCTTAGCTTAATTAAAGTGGCTGATTTGCGTTCAGTTGATGCAGAGTGGGGTTTTGCAGTCCTTAGCTGTTACAGAAATTAAGTATTGCAACTTACTGAGGGCTTTGAAGGCTCTTGGTCTGTATTTAACCTAAATTTCTATAAGATTATTAGTATAAAAGGGGAGATAGGTAGGAGTAGCGTGGTAAGGGCGATGAGTGTGGGGAGGAATGGGGTGGGTTTTGTATGTTCAAACTGTCATTTTATTTTTACGTTGTTAGATATGGGGAGTAGTGTGATTGAGGTGGAGTAGATTAGGCGTAGGTAGAAGTAGAGGTTAAGGAGGGTGATGGTGGCTATGATGGTGGGGATGATGAGGCTATTGTTTTTTGTGAATTCTTCGATAATGGCCCATTTGGGCAAAAAGCCGGTTAGCGGGGGCAGGCCTCCTAGGGAGAGGAGGGTGGATGGAATTAAGGGTGTTAGTCATGTTAGCTTGTTTCAGGTGCGAGATAGTAGTAGGGTCGTGGTGCTGGAGTTTAAGTTGAGTAGTAGGAATGCGGTAGTAGTTAGGATAATATAAATAGTTAAATTAAGAATGGTTATGTTAGGGTTGTACGGTAGAACTGCTATTATTCATCCTATGTGGGTAATTGAGGAGTATGCTAAGATTTTGCGTAGCTGGGTTTGGTTTAATCCACCTCAACTGCCTGCTATGATGGATAAGATTGAGAGAGTGAGGAGAAGGCTTACGTTTAGTGAGGGAGAGATTTGGTATATG